GCACACAGATCTACTGTCTATAGTGAATATACAGTGCACACAGATCTGTCTTTGAGTCATTAGATATTTGAATAATCGTGAGTTCATTAACACATACAGAACCTGACAGCGTTAACACATACCTGGATCTGAGTCTGAGGAGGATGTCATGTGTGAAGCCTCTCTAAGAGGGAGAGTTGTAATTTCTGACAACCAGAATCATTAAACAGTCTGAGCGTGACGGGCTGTTTTTCCCCCCCGAGGCTTCAGTAATGGTGGATGAACTATGTGCAGATATAAAATCGGCTTTTCCACCCCAGCAGGCGTCTGAGGTTGGCCAAGCGCTGATTGCAGAGACAAAGTGAGTCAAACAGCCATCTGCTGGTTTGTTTCATGTTCGACGGCGATAATAAGGCCCTCTGCATGTATTTAGACGAGACGCTGGCCTTGATTGGCTGTTCCTCAAAACGCGGCCCAGAAACAGCTGGCTGCCGCATGTTTTAGCTGCTCTCGCTGTCGCTCGGTGTCGTCAGCGAGGAGAATCCCGGAGAGTGAAAGAAGCTGTCAGCAATCCTTCATGAGGAGAAGTCGTGAGGAGCAGCCATGGCGGTTAACAGCCAGTCATTTGCCAGAGGAGGCGTGTCAGCGCTGTGCCCTTCAACTGAGAGACACCACCAGGGTTGTTATCAAATGAGACTGGAGAGTGAGACAAACGGGCGTCATATTTACCGCCCACCAAGCCCCAAATGTCAGTGAAATCCGTCTCCGCCTGACGGATCAGACTTGCTCACCGTATAATAACACCTTAGATACATGAAGTGTTGAGCAGTTACCGTCTATGTGGCCACTCTTCTTTACTTCCTTTAACACATATTTTAGAGCAGGGGTCTTCAATGTTTTTCAGGCCAAGGACCCCCAAACTGATAGAGAGATGGAGCAGGGACCCCCGACTATATATATTGTATAAAATAGTGTTTTATATTAAATGGGCCTAGTACCGTGTATACCTCTTTATTGTGCATTCAATACTAAGCTATTCAAATAATACACAGGTTCATATATATTCATGTTTTTATTTTAAACATGTGCAAGGTACAGTGAGTAGGGAGGCCGTGCCACTGCCTTTTACAAACATGCCTTGTCAGCTGATACCAATGCCAATATCAACATTGTCTGTTGCATGATAATCATCATACAAGCTATTCAAATTGATGTTTTTATTTTAAACATAAATGTGGAAACCAAAATGAGTGATGGTCTATTAGTGCCACTGCCATGCATAAACATACCTGTTATCTTTCATACAATCCTGAACTATTAAAATAATGGACACATTCATGTTTAGAGGGAAAAAAAATAATAAAATAATCTAATCAACCAAAAACTTCGCGGACCCCCTGTTGAAGACCTCTGTTTTAGAGGCCTCTCTGTTTTCTGATCTGCTTCTGTTTTAATTCACTGTTGATAAAAACTCCTTTTGATTTCATTCAGTAAATTCTCAGTCTTCTACTTTGCAATTTGTGTTTCTTGTTAAGCTACTTTCATTGACACCCAATATTTCCCACATACTATTTGATAATATTAAAAGATGTCCAGCATCTCACAGATGAACCTTCCCTGTCCCGGTGGCTTTAAATGTGAACAGTCTTGCAGGGAGTGATGCATGTTGTTGACTGTAGCTGAACAACAATCGAAAGATTAAATTAATGAAAACAGTGTTTGTGTCCAAAAGTGAAGTGGTGAGTGTGACATGACTCTGTTGTTGTACTGGAGGAATGACTGCTGTGGAAATAGACATTATACTAAATTTGCCATATGAGACATTATCAAACAGGTCATTCTGATGAAGGAAAAAAATAAAGATTAAACTCATACTCAAATCCACACAGCAGAAAAATATAAGGAAGCATCAATTCATTTGTGCAGGATCAATATTCAGGTATGCATACACGGAAAGTAAGTAAGGACCAGAAACCATAACAACTGATATATGATCTGGGTCAAATCCCTCTCAGCCTCTCTGACTCGTATGAGGCAAAGTCAGTCACTGAAATCATCCACTCTTTTATTCAGCAGTTGTATTGTTCCATTGTTCTTGGTAAAGCTAGAGTTGTAAATCTTGAGAAACTATCAGTACACAACGTGGTGAAGATACCCAAAGCCGGAGGGCCGAGTAAATGAGAAGCTCTTCCTTTTCCTTATCGTCCTCTGTGGACTCTGCTCACTGACCAGTCATGCAGATCCGTGGCTGCATAGTACACACACGCACACACACGCACACACACACACACACACACACACTGACAGGTGGTGGTCATTTATCAGACAGACTATAATAGGAGCATTAATCCAAGCCAGTGGAATGAGGTCGGAAATACCCTGAGTCACCAAGCCCTCCCAGCAGGCTGGCTCTGCAACTCAGCTCTGTGTGTGTGTTTGAGTGTGTGTGTGTGTGTGTGTGTAGCCCAGCACACAACACTTGTTTACTGTCTCTGCAGGTGAAGCCCGGTGATGCAACACTGACTCAGCGGGTACCAGAGATCTTGTTTCCATGGCGCAGCGTGGTTGTCAGGGGCGATGGCACTCTGAGGCGGGTGAAGAGGGACTGGGTCATTCCGCCGATCAACGTCCCAGAGAACTCACGAGGACAGTTCCCCGAGGACCTAGTCAGAGTAAGACACACACACATACACACACGCATGAAAGCAAGTCCGTCTTACTGTAGCTGTGAGGACTTTTTGCTGACTAGCCCCAAAGCAGGGAAATAAATATGTAATGTTCATTACAAGGGAAATACAATGAGAGCATTGAAGGCACATACACGTACAAGCAAGACGACACGGACATCTGAGAAGTGGTGCAACATGATGATGTTGGGGTTAAAACCCCAGAGGCCACGCGGTCTCTGTAGGGTGAACAGTGAGGAGCACATTGCAATAAGCAACTGCAGATAAAAGCATGAACTACTTTTCATCCAGCTGTGACGAGAAGCCTCTTACTTTAGATACATTCCAATTCAGTTTGAAGTTGCCGGCACGGCCTTGGACGTAAGATCCCCTTTAGCAACTACACTGTCTGGTACTTTACAGGTACTTTGAAGACCAATAGAACCATATCTTTTGTAACTACGGCTTACATTGTGGTACAATCCATAATGTATATCGCCCATGCACTCTAGTGCAAACTAGTGATTTAATGTGACTCAGGCTTCTATTGCACAGGACTGCAGAGTTATGCAACAAACACTGTGTTTTTGGATGATGATGAAACATTCATGAACTGAAGCAGTAGACCAAGAACTGACCCCTTGGGGACTCCACATACGATGTCAAACCCCAGGCATGAAGTTCTTAAGAGATGTACAAATAGTAGTGACCAACACAAGCAAACCCAGTCTCAGGCGTTCCTTGAGAGCTGCAGAGCCTCCACCAACAGACATGTTGTTGACTTTTCTTTCTTCTCCTACCCATGTAGTTGTGACTGCTACATTATAGATACAACTAGAAAGATGCAGTCAGTACACCGCAGATCTCCGCCAGGTGTGTCTGCAACAACCACTGCTGTGATATTTGATTGAATAAATACAAACCACAACTGACCCCCATCCAGAATGTGAGCTTAACAGAGTGCTCTTCACTCACACAATTCCTAATCCGAAGCTGAAACAAAAGTCCAACTGAAGCAGTTGTTGATCATTTGCCCCTACGAGCCACTTAATAGTAGTGAGGAGTCAGCAGCCCGTTACGGTATAAAACAGTCAATAGAATATGATTTCCAAAAGTGTGAATAACTGTGTGATAAAGGACCTCTTGTGGTTGGCGTTATAAATGAGCAAGGACAATATCAGGCTGATGGGTCCATCAGTACTCCAGATTAGATGTGGACAGACACAGAGATGCACACACACGACCGGATACCTAATCTCCTGGAGGGTTTAGTAACTAATGTGTAACTTGAGAATGGAATTTCATTCTGGACCTCGGCGAGCAGTATATGTAACAAAATGATCTAAGCATTGCTAGCTTTTTGGAGCTCTATAGGTGAGCTTTGATTATTTTGTTAGATAGACTGCTCCCAAATATGAACGCGCTGATATCGAATATCAGGCCCACACTGACTCAAAGAGCTGGATTAGCTAATTGAGGCTGATGCAGTATCAGATTACCTTGTTCTCAGAAAAGCAACTGCTAATTAATTTAAGCTTATTGTTGCAACTTTTTTGAAGCCATCGTTCCTTTAGGATGACATTATATGCCAATTTTTTACTTCACTGAAAAAAGTCGTACAGGTTGTTCTAACTATGACATGGCTGCTGCTTTGAAAATGAGAGCTGGCACTATATCACTCCCAGCCCCACCAAGTCACGTCACTAGTACTGGATCTCAAACCTGTGAAGTCTTTCTGAGAACAATGTCGGTTAGCTAACAAATCCTCCTCCTCCTGGATGTGTTTGAGATCAGTTGTGAATGTTAAGGACTTCTGTTAACATGAGTACAGGGATACTATGAGGAGCACATAGAACATCCTTCAGATAACACTGCTCTCTCTTTCAAGTGCATCACATCTTCAACTGAAATGATTGTTATAGGTAAAAGGTGCCACGTCCATATTCGTCCTCTGTCTTTCTTCTTGTGTTTGTGTCGAGCCCTGTCTCCCCAGCGCTGCCTCTCTCGTCTCGGCTGCGATCACATGGACAGCGTACGGAATATTAATGGTGCACCAGACGTCGCAGTTTATTTTTGACTTCAGCTCAAATCACATTTTCTGTAATAGTATTGCAGCAGCCTCAAGGCTGTGTGGAATGTTGCCTGTGCGAGCCTAAAGTCAGACTGACGTACGAGACACATCCAGGTCAAACTCTGAAAGATTACTTTACCTTGTATATTATTGTATTTTTACCTTTTAAACAGGCAGCCGTGCTTACTGGGAGGAAGTATCCCCCAAAATACTCTGACAACAGTCGATGCAGCAGATGAAACGAAGAAGTGAAATATTTATTTTAAAACTTACTCTACTACTTATTCATTGTTCCAGTGGTAAACTCATTTAAAATACTTTTCCTCCCCCGTCTGTCCTTCTTCAGATCCGCTCAGACCGGGATAACAACCGGATGCTGCGGTACAGCGTGACGGGCCCCGGGGCCGACCAGCCTCCGACCAGCATCTTCATCATCAACCCAATCTCGGGCCAGCTGTCCGTCACCAAGCCTCTGGACCGAGAGCACATCTCCAACTTCCATGTAAGACTCTTCACACCGCCACAGCTGAGGTCAACGTTTCAGTCCGGGTTCATTTTTACTTACTGACAACGTCAACGTGTCTTTTTTTCAGTTTTTCTAACGGTGTGTGTCCACCAAATGCGAAAAACAAACTTTTTTGTGCGTGATTACAATGCAAAGATACATATTGGTTGAAATGTTTCAGCTTGACCAAGAAATGTTCATGAGAGATTCTCCTCCTATCGTCGCTGACCTCCTGACATTGTTGAATCAGAAATTGCTGGAAAAAAAATGCTCTAGAGCTCTACAATAGTTCCCCATATATGTGTATGGATGTATGTGTATGAACCATAGACTATGGTATAAACAATAACGTTGCTGCCATATTTATGCCTTATTTATTGATGAAGGAGCTGCAGCATACCCTCGTACCGATAGATCCAAACTCCATTCAGAAAATGTTAACAGCCGTTTGCTTGTCGTCCTGGGTACAGACCTGACAAAGCATGAATACAGATTATGTAGTTATTGTGGCTTCCTTTTGCTCTATTACTTGCAATTAAATCACAGCAGAATCTGTTTATTTGGGGTTCGTTCTGACTTCCACATGTACAAAGCAGCAATAGTGGATATTTAGGCCATGGTTGATGAAATGTTGGTATCTAGCTAGAGGTAAGCCCCTCCTCCTCTCAGGCGCATCGAGCGTGAGTGACGCTAATAAACACAAATCAAACTTTTCCTTAAAATGTTGAAAAAGTTGATCCTAGATGGGTTCAACTAGGACTTTGAAACTGGATTGAAATCACACAGAATGCAATGTCACAGCGACCGTAACGCAGTGGAGTTACTGGTTTACCTCCTGTTTCATCTGCTCAGCCTGCCTCACCCCCTCTGTCGCATGTCATCCCCCCAAAGTGTTTGTTTTCCTCCTTGCTGTCACTCTCTGCTGGTTATGTTCTCCCTCATTCACAGAGATGAAGAGGAGTATATTTTGTATAGATGTGTGGTGTTTGCTCACTATATCTACAGTCACATAGACCTCTGAGAGCAGAGTCTCACCTTTTGATCTGTAGGAATGCACACACACACGACTCACACGGGGGAGTGGAAATCTGGAGTCGCAGCGGGGTGATTTGCATTTAAGCTGTGTGATGAATATTCATGTGATTGGATGTAGTTGTAGCAGGGAGCTGGGATGTTTATTCATGAGGGAGACCTTGGCTCTTGGAGAGCCTCATACTGATGCGCTGTGAAGGAACGACTTATCGAGGAGTCCAAGGCTGATCAATAGCGACATTCAGCATCTTTGACCGTCTTATGCTAAATAAATACATTACACAAGCCTGCTAGTTTAATTGGGAACACCAAAGACGATAAATAACAAAAAAAATTCTCCCTTTCCAAAGTGACATTATGTTCATTGAAGTTGTATAAAACACTGGAATGTTCTGAGACATGTGTTCAATGCTCTGACCCATTGTTCTTTCATGATTAGAATACTCCAGTCTGAGATGAATTTAAAAGCTGAAAACGGCTTATATTCTGTTTTGTAGCGCTCATGCTCAGACCTGCGAGGGCAGCTCACAACACATCCCGAGGAACAAACAAGGACAACTTGAAAAAGAGTCAGGAGCTCTTGAGGATGACGCACACGCTCTGAAGGGCTCCTGCATCCTAAATAGCAGCTAAATATTGATTGGAATACTTTTTACCCACAATCCACCATCCATTTGTTGGATTACTATCACATCTTGTGGAAATATTCAAAGCCCACAGAGGATGAATCCTACTGAATGATCTTGCATTGGTGATCCCCTGACACCAGCAGGTCTGAATACTTTGGTTTATAACTTAATGCCATGGAAGTGAAGCCAAGAAACCCAGATTTTGAACTTTTGGTGTCATATGGAGTCAGAGAGCGCACTGTAGTGAGCGGGCGGTGGAGCCTCGGTATGGTTATCTGCTGAGATCTGACATCCCTGAACCCCCTTAGCTTCCTGCATTAAAATGCCCTTCATATCCAAAATTGTATCAAGATATGATCTAACCTAAATTTATTTATGCCTGATAGTAATATGTGTCTCCAGTGTTCACATTGAGACACAATCGCGACGTCCAGCTCAAGCGACGGGACGTCACATCCCCGTCTGGTTTGCGTTGTAGCCGTTCTCCCACCATTTGCTCAGACATTGCTCCATAAATGGGTCGGTTGGTGATATGCATTGCCATCTTTGGCTTTGTTCACTTTTAACCGACCAAATTGAAAGCACACTTTGTCTCGTCTCAACTCCATCCTCGAGTGTCTTGAATATCCATTTTTACAAGCTTTCTTTTTGCTGTCTCGCTATTAGCATAGCTCGCTAACATGCTGACGGCCGCACACGGCAAGTTGTTGAATGTGGATTGAAAACACAAAGTACATTTACACTTGTTGTCCAATGCGTCCCTGAACACCTCCGGAGGTGGTTTGGCTGATCGGATCACAATCCGTCCACCTGTACTTTCATGTGGTCAAGCACATGATTGCAAACTGATTACCCAAAATGCATTTTAATGCGAGGCGTAAAGGGGGTCTCCGGGTCTACCACTGAAATCACATAATCCATTTTACTGAAAGGAATCTCTTCTCTGCACTAGTGATACCGTTTGACTAAACAGTTTAAAGCAGTGTGTGTATGTGTGTGTGTGTGTGTGTGTCTGTGTGTGTGTGTCTACAGTTGCGAGCCCACGCGGTGGACCTAAATGGGAATCAGGTGGAGAACCCCATCGACATCGTCATCAACGTCATCGACCAGAACGACAACAGACCAGAGTTCACACACACCATCTTCAACGGCTCTGTACCGGAGGGATCTAAGCCTGGTAAACACATACGCTTGGTGTGGATTGAATCCCTCGTCACTGACATATCTGTGTTGACTCGCTGTGTGTTTCGCTTGCAGGATCCTTTGTCATGACGGTGACATCAGTGGATAAGGACGATCCAAAAACTTTTAATGGGATGCTGCGCTACAAGATCCTCTCCCAGAATCCCCAGAGCCCCTCCTCCAACATGTTCACCATTAACAACAAGACGGGTGACATCATCACCGTGGCAGCGGGGCTCGATCGGGAGGTGTGTGTGTGTGTTTGGGTGGACATTTTGTAAGGCTCATGCCTAAACCCACATGGAGCAGCTGCCTCTCAGCCTGTGAATGTGTGCCCAGCCTGCAGTATCTCCTGCAGTGGAACGACAGCTTGTGGCTTCTTTTCTTGCATCAGTAGATGCTACAGAATGTCCCGTCGTGCTGTTTGCATGCCGGCAACGGTTGTTTTGAAGGATTTTGTTCATCGGCTCGAAAATCCATCGAGTCTGCCTCTTACTTTTTGAAAGTTGTTTGTATAAATCCATCTAAATCTAATACATGTTAAACATTCTAACACATGATTAGAAACACGACAATTGTGTCTCTATATCATTAAACATGGCTCCCACTAATGCTCACAGAATAATTCCTTCATCTTTTTGTATCAGTGCCTTTTGTAAGTAAGGTTTGATAAATAATTAAAAACCTTTCGTTTTAGAAGAGGAAGCATTAAGTTTACCCCGTGTTAAAGTCAACTTCTTATATGTAGAGAAGATTATTATATTATACTAAATGTATTTATTTTTTGATTGATATCTTTATCTTGGTGTTGTGCACATACCATGGCCAGCCCAAACTAGATACTGTGTCTTCTCCCTTTCACATAACGTTCTGCACTATAGTCATTCTTTAAGAGACAGTACCTTTGTGACTTTAGTTGACACCATGTGTCAGCGGACCATGTTTCTCTGTGCATGAGGAGCAGTTTGGTTCTAATCCCCGGAGTATCACACAGTAACCTGTTCTGGAACAAGCATGACAAATAGTTCATATTAAGCAGAGATTTCAAACCCTCAGCCCATGGATGGCCAAATGAAATATCTTTTAATAAAAGTAAAGTATTGAAAATATGTGCAGAACCCCTGTTAGATGTAACAGTCATTAACTCTGTGAACACTGTAGTTGAGCAGACCTAATGGTGACTCAGTCATCAGCTGTGATGGGGCTTTGACTGAAAGACATTCTACTTCTGTCTAACCTCTTTAATTACATCGATTTATGCTCCAATATTCAAACTTGTTTGAAGTATTGGGTCAGCTGCTGACTCCCTTTGTTCTCTGTTTCCAGAAAGTCACCCAGTACACCCTGATCATCCAGGCTACGGACATGGAGGGGAACCCCACCTACGGCCTGTCCAACACGGCCACCACTGTCGTCAGGATCACCGACGTCAACGACAACCCGCCCGAATTCACCACCGACACAGTAGGTCCACACACACACACACACACACACACACACACACACACACACAGAGGGAGTGCCATGGTTCCGAAACAGCCAAACCGGGGCACATGGTGCTGTTCTCCTAAACGGCACTGATGCTTTGATTGGCTGAGGCAGATGGAGTGAAAAGGCGATGAAACGACCAACATGTTTCTGTTGGACAGGAAGAAGCAGTGTTTGTGGGAAACATGGTCTTTATTCTGGGAAACAGGAGCGATCATCTCCACTTTGGACTTATTGTTGATAAGAAAAGAAAATCTTATTACAGCAGCAGAGTGGATAGTGCAAACGAACAAACAAGAGACATACGTAGAAAAACAAGATCAAAACAAGCATAATAAAGACGTTCTCACACAGTAAAGGTATAATAAATAAGTAAACAAACTAAAGTTGTGAATTCATGTTTTACAAAGGGTCTAATGTATTCCTGTTTCCTGTCAATGTGACACATTGGTGTCTGTCTTTTTGTCCGCCTTTCAGTTCTTCGGGGAGGTCCATGAGAACAGGGTGAATGTGATCGTGGCGAACCTGACTGTGACGGATAAAGACCAGCCCCACACTTCAGCCTGGAGCGCCGTGTATCGCATCATCGCCGGAGACCCCACCGGACGCTTCTCCATCCCCACCGACCACACCACCAACGAAGGCCTGCTCACTGTGGTCAAGGTGGGATTTGCTCACCTTGAACACACACACAGAAATGCACAAATAGCGAGCAGTCACCGCCATTGTACATCATTTTTATCACCTCGGATGTTGGCATCGCACTGGCTCCCTCGACTGAAAGCCAGTGAGATTTTTCCATTGGATTTAGGTTTACTGTAGAAAATGATGTGAAGCAGTGTGAGAATCTGTGGCAAAACAAGTTACCGATACTGATATGTGTTGTGGAGATGCCCACAGACTGTAGGTGTAACCGACTCAATGCCATAAACCAACCTCCACTATTTACGAGGAGGGATTGTAAATAAACTGTAAACTCATATCTCATATTCATGGACTACTTTATTATCTTTGTACAAGAAAGAAACTAGTCAATTATTAAATGCATTATAAAGAAACAAAGGTTGAATATACTATAAAAAAATTAGATTTGACTGCAAAATATTTACTCAAATGAAGATTTTTAAGACCTCCTGTTTCTAAAGCATCTTAAAGTGGATTAGCCTTCTTCGTATAATCCCTACACGTGTAACTAGTGTTTTTATCAGTGAACTATTGGTGACAGTCACGTGATCCGCTGCACGCGACAAGTTACAATAAATCAATTGCAACCACTACGTGCACCACGCGCCTGCCGTGATTACGACGCTTTATGGCGTCCTCGCGTCGGCTTCACTGCGGCGAGTATAAACTAGGCTTTAGTTCACAAGAGGGGTGTCTATTGATGTATTTCATGTTGTTGAACAAAACGTTTAAATCTCTTAAGCTTCTGTAAACGTTATTTCAGGCATCTAACCAAAAACACATTCAAAAAACCCTGTGACTTTGAGACGAGGGAAGCAGAGGTGCAAAAATTGCTGAGTCATTTCAAGGTTTTGGGACTCATTCCTCAGTACAGAAATAGTAACTAAATATTTCATGATAATACACAATGAGCGTTCCAAACATAAAAAAACTCCAAAAAGTGAGGTTTGATATGATATGGAGCATTGTGGTCCTTCACAGTAATCGTATATTTTGGGGGTTTGAATATGTCTTTGTAAGAAATGATGGGATCGGTACTCGGTACCAGCCGATACTCCAGCTCAGGGGTTCATTCGGGATTGGTATCTGGAAGGAAGAAATGGTATTGGAACAAATCTAGTTTTATCCCGCTAATGTTTGTCTTTTTCTTCCTTTTATATGTCCTACTCATCGTAGCTCTATCTTACCATATGGAAGAGCGAACTATATTTTTATAATTTGTAAAGGATTTTAGACTCCTAAACACATTCAGCATGACTCCTTCCTAAGGTGGCCCATGTAGATTTTGTTGGACCTCCAGTGTATTGCATCACTATCATCCTATCCCACCCTTCTTCTGTCCAGCCCATAGATTTTGAGCTGACCCGTTCCTTCATGCTGACGGTGGAGGCAGAAAACGAGGTTCCACTGGCCCGTGGAATCCACCTGCCTCGGCAGTCCACGGCGACTGTCTCCGTTCGGATCCTGGACGTCAACGAGAGTCCAGAGTTCAGCCCCAATCCCAAGTCCATCAAATTGGAGGAGGGTCTGCCTGCGGGGTCACTGCTCACCACCTTCACTGCCCAGGACCCTGACCGTTTCTTGAGACAAACTGTCCGGTAAGAACACACCAGCTGGAAGCCGAGACTTTAGAGGCTTTCCTCTTAGTATATTATTAAACACGTGTATAATTCAAATGATTTAACTAAAGGTTGAGCAGGTTTGAATAGTGTTGAATATATCTTTCACTGTGTTTTGATAAGAAGAAACTTTGAATATCTGTATGCCTTTTAATTTTCTAATTTAGCCTTGCATTTATTAGAATTCATTCTGAAGTCACTGTAAAGGTACGACTGAAATGAAATTAGCTTATTACTATGCGTTTAATGCAACATTGGACTCGGTTACAATATTGTCTAATCTATTCATACAGTGCACATCTTCATGTAGCTGGAACGCTGTGATTAGATGAAAGGTAGAATTAGCATAAAGCCATTCTCTGTGACTGTTGGAGGTATCATAGCCTGTTCTCGACTTCCTCGTTTGGGAACATTAGCTAACACGACTACAGGAACAATTAGTGGAGCGACCAACAAGCCTGTTCAATATCTTGACTCAGCGCTAACATTTGTTAGTATGTCACAAAAAAAAGGTGTTTTATGGATGAATGGATGGAATCACAAAAGTAATTTGGTAAATTGCAGGTTAAAGTTTCTGAGCTAACTGTTTACTGAGTGAAGTATATCGTCTCTAAATGCTCTGCTGTCACATCCACTTTACTAATCATCATTTCAAGTGTCCTTTGGATAAAAACTATTTGAGAACACCATTTGTTATGCCGAGGAATATCATCAGTGATAAAGACACCGTAATGACCCCTGTAGGGCTTAAATTGCTATTTACTATTACGTAAACTAATTATAAAAATGTGACGAAAATACCTCTTCCAAGTATGGTTTGTTGAAATTGAACATAACTATGTTAAACTAAGCTAGAGATGTTTTCCAAAATGTAACACTGCTTGGTCTGAACGTATTTACCTAAGATATTGAAAATGGTTGGTTGATTGTTTGGTTTGTGGTTTGGTTGATTGGTTAGTGGGTGGGAGGGTTAGTTGGTTGGTAGGTTAGTTGAATGTTTGGTGGGTGGGAGGGTTGGTTTGTTGGTGGGTTAGTTG